ATCACACTATCTCTCCTTTATGTCCCCCACTGGTACAGCGGTAAGTCTACGGAGTTAGAACGCTAAAATCAGGGATTTGATTGCTCTTGGTGGACACAGCAAATAGCCCGATGTGGCTTTGCTATAAGAAAAACACAAACTCTTTCTTTATACAATAAACTTTGTCGAGAAGCTCTCAGTGACCATAAAATTATAAGACCTATTTAGCTGTTTTGAGATCTTGTATAACACGATTAAACAAATACACAAGAAAATTCAAACCACAATTCGATATCCCCCATAAAGCAACATAGACACCAGTTTAAACATTCGTCGTAGAAGGTTAGAACACAACGTTATTTATCTTGGGTCTGATGATTTATTGAGAGGGAGAGATCTGTGCAATGATAGTAATGTCACATTAACATTCCAATACATAAGGTAATTCGGAAAAAAGAAGATATTGAGAATATGGTTGAGAGATGATACTTGCAAGTTTTTATTGCTATCACTTTTGACAATATACGTGATAACTTCCAGATGTAGGTTTATATACTTGTAGCAAAGGTAATTTGGCTGAAAAGCTTAGATTTTATTATTGTGAAGAAGAAAATACACACTCCGTATACGTAATGTGGCACATACAGTGGGGATTAACTAATCAGACCTGTACCATATAAGCTATAGTTTGTTTTGTTTACTTTTCTCGTGGCCATGTGATTCTTCAGTGGTAATTATAAACCTAAGTAAATCGTGTACAATGTGCATTTTTTAAAAAAGTAAATTTGAATTTTCCTATTAAGTTCACAAGTCGATATTCAGTTTTTATCCTACTGTTAAGAATACAAGCCTAGCACTATCCAATATAATAGAGGTTTTTAGAAATGCTTGTTTTTGGTCATTATGACTGTTTGTTTGTAGTTAAGCATAAAGCTACAAATGGGTTACTCGTGCTGTGCTCACCGTAGGTATCGAAACCTTATTTTTAGTGTTATATTTCTCCAGACTTACCGCTGAGCCACCGGAGAGCGTCATAATGACAGAAGAATTTTACAAAGATATTTATTCAACATCAACGGCAAGAAATGTCAATCTTCAAAACCTTGAAATACGTCTTTTTACTTCTGTAACACAAAGAGTTTATTTGAGTTTCAAACTAATTTTCTCTGTATATGTGCAAATATCGTTTCCATTAACTTCTTGTGATTTCTGCATATACCGTTATTGTTTACAAAGATACATGAAAATAATGTTAATTCCGGAGAAATACGGTAATTTTGGAGAAAACTATACTTTGATTATGTAAGAAATATGGTTTACTTAACACTATGTGGTCTTTGCCAGTATAAATTCACACCATTATTTAATAATGTATAATTAATTTTATTCAAATTATCACTATTTTTGTGAGTTAAAATCTTCTAATATTTAAATTTATTTTAACCTGAAGATAACGAATAACTTTAAATACCATTATTGAAACGGAATGCAGTAACACAACAAAAAATACAGCATATTAATCTATGAGAGAAAAATATGCTTCGCTATGTAGCTTGGCAACCAAATATACTGGTTCTTAATAAACACGTAACACATTTATTCTAACGTGAAAGTACAGTTTTTTTACTGCCCTTCAGGAAATTCAACACACACGCTTTCGATCAACGAGATACACGCCATTTATTGGAATGGAAATAATGAAGTGTTTTTTTTTAACAAAATATATACGACTTTTGATCTATACTTTACAAATGCAATCTAATTTGGACAGTGGGTTCTTACACACATATATAAATTCTATTAAAATATAGTTACCCGATAAAACTACAAAGTTAAGTTTAATCTAAAACGACCTGTTATTTCCTTAAACAAATCCATACGGATAAGCATGGGTACAATATGTATCTCGGGTGCATGGTAATTCATTAGCTACATTTTATCTTAATAGTCAGTATTTTACTTACCGATTGCTATAATAGTTTAGCAGATTTGAATTTACTACATCTTTCGTATAAAATATCTTGAAAGACAAGATTCCGTACACTTGTCTCTCACCAGGTGCATGGGATAAAACGTAAATATTCCGAAACTTCATCTATTATGTATGTAAATAATACATACGTATAAAGAAGACTTTTTTTTCATTGTATGCTCTTTGTTAGAAAAGTAGGCTACAATCGGTAACGGTTTATAAACCTGTCTTTATTGCATTTACACACTCATATTAAAATGATGCTATTGACACTACATACACGACATGGAAATATACATTTAATTACATAAAACGCAGCGCAACTTCCAAAACATCTACCGATCCATATTTACTTTTCAGTTTCGTACAAATGCACATGTAATTTCGTTTTTCGTTGAATATTAATACATTAGACAAAATTAAATCGATAGCAGCGTGTAATTGATACATCAGAAGGCTATTAAACTAATCAGGATACCCAAGATCTGACAACCCGACACTGTAAGTAAACAGGAATTGACAGATGAACAAAAAAATATGTTCTGCGACTTTACACTTCTCCTTTTTATGTCAACGTTTGTAGGTAAAAACCATGTCCCATTTTGGCTACGAAAAGCCTCACATCAGGTCCAGAATCGCTGGTCGTTTCAGACGCACGGTCATGTCCAATACAACAGACCCTCATTAGCTAATGACAACACCAGGCACGCAACGCCCTTTGCGGTTATATCTATGCGTATATGAGTGTATGCCTTGACACGCAACGCTCCGGCAACGTATTAAACTATGCATGTTCTTTAAGTTCGAAAACCTATTTGGTCGACAATGACGTTTTGATCTAAATGTACTTTATGCTACTTGGTCCAATATCAGTTGGTAGGATAACCCTTGACAGCTGTGATTGACTCGTCATGTCAAATTAAACACATAGTTAACTAGAATACTTAGGTTGTTTGTTAATTTAGACCATGATTCAAGAATATATATTGTATTAACTTAAGCCAATCTTAACTCATTATTGTCCTTTAGAGATTATTGTTTATATGGCATATTTCCTAATACATATCGTATTAACTTAAGCCAATTTTAACTAAGTATTGTCCTTTAGAGATTATTGTTTAGATGCCATATTTCCTAATATATATCGTACTAACTTAAGCCAATTTTAACTAAG